TTTACTAATTGTGTCTAATGGCTTAATTGGCAAGTGATGCAAAGACAAAGGAAAACAGTTGTGGCAAATAACAGTTACAGGGGAATCAAATGAGGTCAAACTGATCTGATGCTCTGTGGGTAACTATGGTGATTGACTTCAGAAGAGCCATCAGCTGAGAAAATGTATTTCATTAGTATGGCTTCTCTGGTAAAAATTGCCTGGCATAATGGTGGTGTATTTTGCCGTCAGGCAGTGTTTTCTGAGAGAAGATCTAGCAATGCATTTCACTCTGAAACCCTTCTCTTCTACAGCTCTGAAATGAATGACAGCAGATCTCTAAGGCCTGAGGTCTTTGGTTTATATTTCCGGGCTGCTGATATGGATTAACATGTATAAATAGGATGGTTTAGTTGTGCGTTGCATGTTATGCCCAGGTAGTAAATGTTTTTGCTTGCAACACAAGGGATATTTCTGTCACCTTCAGTTGTGTGCACATGGAACTGTATGCAAAAGAGATCTGAATGTTATGATTATGGGTTGTTTTTTGGAATTAGTGAAATTCTGTGAAAGTAAACAAAGAGACTATGGGGCTCATAACTGTAGTGGTTCTTAAATGTATTTTATGTTTTAATTATCATCAAGAAAAGTGAAGGAATGGGCCGTGTTTACAATACTGTAATTTTGAACCCTAGGATAAAACCTATGGGGTGAAATTTGCAGTATTTCACAATGTGTTTCACTCCTGTTACCAATACATTAATCCGTGCTGTGTTAATGCTGTGTCAGTATGGTCTATGCAATATTGGTGTCACCAATACCTAGTTGAAGTTTCTTCTTATTCATACATAAAAATGGTGAATATACTGCATATTTTCTATAATTGTATGATACAACCATGTATCATATTGTATATTTTGCCCACAAAATATACAGTCAATTCACTTTACAGTATATTCTGTAAAGCCTTTGAGACGTCTCGATAGCACGATAAGGCACTATATCAAATGCAAGGATTATTATTATTATTATTATTATTATTATCACTCCACTCATTTTATTAGTGAAATATTTTTCCTTCCTATGAATTGAAATCTTACTTCCAAGTCACAAACATGGTATCAGGAGAAACTAGTCTGTTCACTCTTATCCTTTACAGAGGTTATTGAAGCTTATGCTCAGTGACAGATATGATTGAGATATAATAGTCTCTAACTCTGAATTGACCTTAGTGTAGGTCTTCTTGATAATTAGATCAAAGGATATTCAGTCTTCACAGGATTTATGCAAGGTTTGATCCTGAAAGAAACTAAAAATATATCTCAAGTAAACAGCTAACCTTTAACATATCTGTACAATTAATAATCACAACTCAACTACTTTGGAAAACCACCAAAATAGAAGCAATTTCTGTAAAATATCCTTTGAAATAATAATAATAACTCTTGCATTTGGTATAGAGTCTTATCACATCGCCAAGACTTCTCAAAGGGTTTCACTGCACTTGTAAAATTTATTGACTGTGTATTTTGTGGGCGAAATATGGCAGCCAATTTTATTTGGGGGATTGTTAGGCAGGATACTGAAACTCCCTTCTCTTGTTGAATAGTGGGATCTAAATTAGCAGATAGGACCTCGGTTTAACATCTCATCTGAAGGACAGCAAGTCCGACAATGCAACAACACACCCCCAGCACTACATTGGAGTATCAGCTCAGACTAAGTGATTCCCAAGTCCAATGTGGGGCTTGAGCCCATAACCTTTTGACTTAGAGGCAAGAGACTGACTCACAGAAGATAAAATGTCTCAAACACAAGAAGCAAATCTCAACCTTAAACACAGGAAATAAGGTTTGACAATGAAACTACCTGTAAAGGTAGTTGCATTTAGTTTTGTAAGTATACTTGACATGTATCGGATTGGCTCACATTCCTGAACCTTCAACAAAGCGTGTTCAGTTTTAGGCATTTCATTTCACTTCAGTGACACCACATATACGAGAAACACAGATTTTGCATTTATACACCTTTCATGTTAAGAGAATGTCTCAAACTATTTTTGATCAGCATTCCCTGCCCTAATAAAAAATTCTGCTAACCTCATCCTGTGATTTTTTTGGTTGATGATCGTAAATGTATGTCCTCTAGTGACTCAATGGCCATTGAAAATAGTTTGTCATTATTTATTTTTACTGCACTGAAATAGTTGTTGCACATAACTTAATGTAGTTATGCAGAAATTGTGTACAATCCATCGCAAGTGTGGAATTGAACTTAGACTGACTGAACTGGTCACTGGAAAGGAAACAGATCAACATAGAACTATAATAATAACATTACTCATGTAACAAATCAGTTCACTTACATCTATGAAGTTCATAATGTATGTTTATAGTAAACACAGGGTGTGGGTGCCAGAGAGAAATTTGCTTAATGAGATTTTCACAGAGACCTGGCTTTACCAAAACATTCACTGGGACATTTATACATTTTTATCATGAATGCGCATCTGTATTTGTCTGTAAATCCTCTGTAAGCAACATTACTCACTTCTATATAAACATGTTTATGATAAGTATCCCTTGCTTCAAAAGTTCGCTTCGGTTGCTGAAAGCATTAAGAATCCATGAAGCACTTTTCAAATTGTCACCGTGTAACAAAATCACCGTTTACGCAAACACCAGAAAGCGTAAATGTTTCTCTGGAAACTTCTAGAATAATTGCGCGCAAAATGGAACTTCAGACAAATTTAATTTAACAATTACAGTTGCCTTTCCAACTTGTACAAGGCACGATAAGTACTTCTTTCCTGTTGATTGAATGCCTGAGGCTTTTCATGAGTCCACAAAAGAATGTAATGATTGAGGAAATAACTAAAATGTATGTGGCCAACCCTTATTATTAGAAACGTATGGGAATCACAAACAATCCTTATCAGTTCATTGCATGCTATATTTTACCATTTTGTTTACATAATAATAATCTTCACGATCCTTGCATTTGATATAGAGCCTTTCACGTCTGGAGGATGTCACATAGCACTTCACAGGATTTTATTACAAAGTGCAGTGACCACTCATTTGTAGGCGAACGCAGCAGCCAATTTGTGCACAGAAATGTCCCCCAAACAACCAATTTTATCCAGGGGATTGTTGGCCAGGGCACCAAAGTGTTTCTAATTGTGAAATTTGAGGTGCAGCTCTGAGGAATGCCAGGTGAAATTACTGCCCTTTCACCTACAAGGAAAACATGGCCCCAATAATACATTGGAGGCAACTGTAACAAGGACAAAATGTACCGTAACCCCTGATCTTTGCTGGGAGGGCATTAAAATGTTGTAGAAGCTGGCATCCAGTACCAAAAGACTAATTAATAGTAATCCTTACGTTTGGTACAGCCAAAGATTTACTACAATGCAATGGAGATGGTAATGAGATTTTCTCTTTCTTATTTATCTTCAAATCCCATCTGAAAAAACTGCCTCTTCGACTGCACCAATGGTCACCTCCCCTTCCTTGGCAGCTCTGTACAGCACTCTGAGATGCTATCCTGTGTGAAGGGCGCCACATAGAATCATAGAATTATACAGCACAGAAGAAGGCCATTCGGTCCATCGTGTCTGTGCATAAATGCAAGTTGCTGTTGAGATTCTACCTGAAGAGAAAAAACATTTTAAGTAAGGTTTAAAGACACTGACTTATAATTCAACATACTCTTTAGAATGAAAGGTAATTCCACATTAAACATTTATTATCATTCCTAAAAGAACAATCCTCTTTTTCTGAAAAGGTAATTCCCCGGTTTATAAAACTATTTTTCTTTGACCAAAAGGCAAAATACTGCAGATGCTGAAAATCTGGTACAAACACAGAAGTCCCTGGGAACACGCAGGTCAGGCAGCGTCCGTGGAGAGAGGAAAATGAGTTAACGTTTCAGGTCGATGACCTTTTGTCAGAACTCAATTTTTCTTTTAGTTTGTGTTTATTAAGGGGCTCGAGTGAATAATGTTGTGGTTTCTGTTGTGCTGATGTTGATGCTATAATGAATTCAGGCTGGTCTGCAAGAGGCAATGACTGCAGCAGCTTATCCAAGAAATGGGAAGGATATCAGGGTCTGAGCAATGCTTTAATGAAGTGAATGTGACAGTCATCTTGCCGGGAGTTTGCAGAAGTATAGTAGAGCTGCTAACTTCAGCTTCAATGGCCGACAAGTGAAAAGCATTTGCTTCTACATCACTCTCCATCCCAGAGCTGTTTGTTTTGACTACTTAGCTGCCTCTGACATCAGCCTTGTTTGCAGTGCAGTGTTTAAAATGATTGAAAATACCCCTTATTAAAGCAGAGCTATGAAATGTCACCTTCCCCATGAGCAGAAAACGAGGATAAGGAGCAGACCTCAAAGTAACATAATACTCTGAATCCACTACCCAGTGATTTTTGTACAACACAGAAGTTGCATTGTAAGTGGAGAAAGCAGAAAGGTCAAATCATTTTAAAATGGAACTGAAATTGGGAACATTAATCCAGAGCGCTGTAATCTGCAACAGATACTCACAGAGTAAAATAAGAATGAATCAAGGATTTAAAATGAGTTATTGTTTGGGTAAAATTAGCTTTTTGTATGCAGTGTAGTATTTTTTTTGCGCAGCTTCGGCTGGTTTTGTTCCTTAAAAAGTATAACATGTTTCCACTCCTCTCCTCCTCAAGACAGACTTTCTTTCACCAGGCTTCCCAATGCCAATTGCATTGCTGCCAAATTGCAGTTCATCACACACAGCATGCTACGGCATACTTTATGTCTGATCAATAATGCCAATGAAACCCCAGCAAAAAAACAGCCACCAAAACGACCAATTTGTAGGTGTATAGTACAGGAAACAGTACAGGTGGCAGAACAACAAGGAAAACAGCATGGGACCAAAACCCTTTCCAGGCCATTTTGTTGTATTCAGGAAGGTGGCAATCTAATGCTGGAGCTGTGTAATTATTCACATGTTGATGCTTCCATTCAATATAAAGCAGTCAAAATATAGATTTGTTTATTTTTTAAAAATCGTATCATGTCAAAATAACTAAAGATATACCCCACCTTAATGAGTATTTTTCCGATAGTTCTTGGATTTAACGTTATTAGGGGGTTGCTAAGTATTAAAACATTTATATTTGTGAACATTTCAGTAAAGGAGGCTTTCTTCACATCTGCCATTTTGAAAAAGGAACTTGTCAAAATGGTGTCAGTGAATGAAATCAGTTGTACGAAATTCTCCACATGTCTACCGTTTAAGTGCTTACGAAGGACAAAAGCTTGCCAGATTACGTGAGTAAATGCATCCCTAAGCAGGATATGGTACATCATTATTTCAGCAGGTATAAATAGTCAGACCTTGGTTAAGGCTAATCTGTTTTTTCAGTCAATGCATTGGATTAATAGTCCGTGTGGTACATACTACCACCTACTGTTCACTTTACAATTCGGACATTGAGGCAATTCTGTAGGTCTCACTATTTGTTCATTACACGACACTTGAAGATTCTGTATGAAAACCACGATTTTTAAAATTTGCCTCTAGTTGATGCGTATGAGAAATGTTACTCAAGTGCCCCTCTCAACTCCAACCAAGGCTCCAAGTCTAAGCCCCAGAGCTCCCTGTCATTCAAACCTGCTCTCCTCAGTTTGGTTAGTTCTCCAGCAGGTTGCTGGGATGTGTGCATTAGAGAATCCAGGCATTCCACAGGAGGGAGGAAATTGGCACAGATCAGCTTGCCCTGTTTGAACAGGCACTTAGCTGGAAGATCAGGGAGTGGAACTGGTACATTTTATGACCAAGATCAATCTGCCCTTCTGGATGTTTGGTGCAAACATTAAAATACTGTACATCCAGAATATGGCACAAAAACATCTGACCAGATGGCTTTAACCATGAGATTGAGTACACTGTGATTCTCAGTACCTAGTGTTCTGTGTTTGAATGCATTCTGTAAGTCCATTCTCCAATCAAGCACATCCTTCAATAGTGGAAATGTGCATTTCAGGGTAAGTCAGAGGAGTAGAGCTGCAAATCATCTGAGGCAACAGCCTTGAGTAGATTATCTGGCTGTTATTTACTGTCTTCCTAGGTGGCCTAGGAATAAGGATGTGGATGGCTCTAGTTTCCAGCTGTTGTATATTAATGATGGCTCAGTGGTTTATTGGTCTTACTCTTAATGGTTCAATTTCCTTTCACTGCAGTTTCATTTGGAAGATGTTTTGCTTGGAAGCAGGACAATTATTGAAAATGGCTTCAATCATTGAGATGCTTAGCAATTTGGGGTTTCCTGGGTCATCCCTTAGAATCACGAACCCATAGAATATTGACCCCATCCTTCACAAACCACACCGGCCGTCTTAAAAATGGCCACACATTAAGTGTTTATAATAAAAAGAACTTATCTAAATATTGAAAGGACACGTGTCTAGTTGTTTTACTAAGGTTTGTGAATGGATGCTCTTTATACAGCTTTAAAATATCCAGTCATTCTGTCACGTGAACACCTGGCAAAATAGAAACGACGCAGAACATCAAACGTAACTGGAGCCCCTTGTGCAAAATAGATTTCTGGATTTGTGGCATTGCTGGGAAAAGTGACTGGAACAGAATGCTTAAATTTGGTGGTGCAGTCCCATTCTCAAGCACAGTGATGCCAGCAGTTCATGCCACAGTCTGCCTCGCACCACAAGAGGGCACCAGCACACTTTGCAATATAAATAGTCTCCAGACAGTTCGAAGGAAGAGAAACCCAAAATCCCTCCTATTTGTCAAGACAATTTCAGATTGACCGTTTTAACCACCACATCCAGATTCATTGAATGACGATTCTCGATATGAAGATGATCATTTCGCAAGGAATTAACCGGCAGCCATCTACCTCTTTCCGATCTGAAACACGTTTGCAAATGTATCTGAGCTCAGCGAAACAGTTTGTTTCACTCTCTTGAGTGAACGTGATTCCCACAAAACAGAGATCTGGAGCTGAACACTGGCGGAACCTTGTGACCTGCAGTTACTCGACTTGTGTTTTTCTTTTGAAAACCAGCGCTGTGACACTATTTCCACTTTTCCCCCCAAACTGGAATTTTGGTGTTGGCAACTCATGTAGCATCTGAAATCCTGAAACAGAAAGCACAGTATTGTGGTTACTCCTCACAGTTACTTTAGAAATGACCGAGGCCTTTATAGAGTCCACAGGGTATCTCATACAGTACTCTATTCACATCTGTTGAAGGAGCAATTCAGTGCAGGAGAATGTACCAGGAAAAGGGTGCCGTTATCTCTACCTAATTGCCTTACCTCTGTTTAAGCTCCATCAATGTTAATATAATGCCATTGACAAAGTTACAAAGTGTTTCATGCCTTCATTTCAATGGCCAGCAGTGTCAAGCTATTTGATTCTGACTTCCTTTGTCAAGTAATATGAGCAGCACATCCTGTGCTTAGCTCTCAGGCACAGAGGATGTTCACGGCAACCTGACAACCAGAAAACCGACTGCTCAACATGGAAAGCCAGGTCTACAACACTTCCATTTATTGCAGGTCCACAGGAGACTGCACTATAGGCTGGTCAGCACTATATTGAAGGGCGCTCTCATAGGATTCCCCTGTGGATGGTCCTGAACTAGTACTTTCTCTAGTACAGTTGCCATGAGAGAGAAATTGGGTTGAAACTTTCCACATCTCCAGACAGTGCTGTGTCCCAGAAACAGGCTGAATGCCCAGAATTTCTTTTCTTGCAGCTGCACCTCCCGATAGCAGCAAGGAAATGGGAACTAGCCATGTTCCATTCGGATCAGGACAATGTTCTAAAGAGAATAAAAACATCAAGGGGAAAACAATAATCTGTAAGATCTATACCAATGGAAAAGATAAAGAGATCACCGACCTTCACTGAAATGATTTATGAGTTCCTCTCTGGTCCAGTTGCAGGATGTTATGAGGAACAAGCCTCCCTCCTTCAAAACCCTGTGCAAGGATTCCAAATACATCCTTTGTTTATCAGCAGGATGGTCAGGACTCAAGCTAACGGCATCAAAAGTTCCTTTGTCAATGCAGACCTCGTAGTGAGAAAGGTTAGGAGATTCACACAAGAAATCTGCCACCTGTGGATGAGAGAAAACTGTTGTCCTAAGAAATGGATTTTCAGATGCTCGAACAGCGTTCAACAGTAGTTTAAGCGTTCTGAGACACTGCCCTGCGTGGAGAGCGCTATATAAGTGCAACTTGTTGTTGTTGTAGTCAACATTTTCATCTGCTAATCGTTGTTTGCTGTCAGTTCCAGCAGTAATATACATAAACAATCACCAGGGACTGTTAACTCAGGGAAACTGGCAATACTTTGCGGTTGTGCTGCTGGTGAAGAAATGCAACGGTGAAGGTGGATTTCTCCACAGCACTACCTGATCTGGAAACCTCAGAGCCATCTCATTGTGCGCTGGCTTTTGAAACGTAAACCATATATGGGCAACAATAGTTTGAAGTTTTATTGTCAACAAGATTGTAACTATCAGAACAGAGGAAACAACTGGTTCTGATTTTCTGTTGGGAGGAAAAATGCCCCACAGTATTCGAAACTAATTCACAGCACATGCCTAATAAAGTGTTCAATTCTGTTTGAACTACTCAAGGACAATCCAATGCAGTACATAGACGTAGACCAATAAAAACTGTCCATCACCATGCGCTAGACAAGTATTAAAGTGAGGAAATCAATGCTTGATGAGACTCTAACAATAAAAGATAATTATATCCTTTGAAAAAATATTGTAAAATCCTACGAAGCGTTCTGAGACGTTTTCCGAATGCATTCATACCTGTAGTTTTATACCCACAATCTGTTCTTTTTCAACAATGGCTTTCGCGAGTTCCACAGCAGAAGTTGAATAGTCAATCCCGGTCAGGTTACTGAATCCAGCTCTGGCCTTAAAAAAAAGGGACAACATTCCCGTCATTAAGAATTGACAAAAAGAGATTTTTTAAAAAAAAATTTTTTTTTTTACTCGTTTTAATTCTTTGTATTAGGAGCACTTTCCGAAATCACATCTGGCTCAAGCTTCAACCGCCCAGATGGTTTTCAAGTGAAAGTCTATACTTACCAATTCTATCAAAAAAACACCATTGCCTGTTCCAATGTCCAGAAAAGCGGCATCGCTTGAAATAGTTTGCCGTCCCAACCATGTTATCACTCGATCCATACTTCCTTCACCAAACCTAAACAGCAATTGAGCTCATGAATGTCATTTTGCCTATAAATAACTCTAACTCTCTGGAATAATCAACTGCTGATGATTATTCTGTGAGTTAATTTGTGCATGAACTCCGTGCAAATGAAAGTGTGTGGTTTTGTGACTTACCAGATTTCACCAACATCTCCCAAATCGTGAAACGTCTGCAGTTCCCTCTCATAAGCACTATCCCAACTGCAAATAGATAAAGATTGCATCTTTCAGAGTGAAACCCAACACCTCACAAAATATGGGTTAACATTGCTAAACGTAAAAGAAAACGCCTTTTTGAATATCAGCCTCATTGTTATAGCACAATCACACATTTGCAGTAAATTATAGGCCAAGGTAAGCTGTTGATATATATCATCCCACTGAAACAAACATCAAACCCTGCACTGTGAGTTGTGAAAAAATGTTTAGTTTCCTCAAAACAATATGCCCAAAAATGTACTTCTGATAAATTATTATGTTAAACCAAAGAAGTGTTTTCCTGCACCGTATCCATGCAACTACGGTTTCTATACGTACAATAATTGTGGTTTGATTTTTAACAAAAGTTGGGACCAGGAAATAAGTCTAAAAGACCTTGACGTGTCGAGACAACTTATTACTGCGAGTTGAAACCCTCCAATTTACTTCGAAATATTTTTTTGTTGATCAACTGGGTGTCTGGGGAGGTGCGAATGCCACTCTTCAAAATATCTGCTTTGGATCTACTGCTGCGTAACTCAACTGACATTATAACAACAACAACTTGCATTTACCTAGCGCCCTCCATGCTGATTTTGGGGAGACCTGATTGTCGATCAGCCTGGGGTTGCTTATATTTACTGACCGTTCCCTTTTTATTTTGCTTAACGTTAAGTAAAAACGCGCAATTTTTCCAAACGGCGGCGGCGGCAACAACAACCACCACCACCACCACAGCAACAACTTGCACTTCGACCCAGGGGCAGCGTCTTGGATGGGTTTAAAGCCGCACGGTCCGCGCTTAAGGAACGGTCCGGTCCCCCTTTGATCACAAGTGGCATTGCTGAACTAAGGCATTAGCTCCTACGAGGTTTGGTGGAAAGGTTTGGGGGGAGGAAGGGGGGGAAGAGGGAGGGGGGGGGGAGGGGGAGGAGGAAGGGGGGGAGGGGGAGGAGGAAGGGGGGAAAGGGGAGGGGGAAGGGGGGGAGGAGGAAGAGGGGAGAGGGGCGGGAGGAGGAAGGGAGAGGGGAGGGGGGAGGAGGAGGAAGGGGGAGGGAGGGGGGGAAGGGGGGAAGGGAGGGGGAGGAAGGGAGAGGGGAGGGGGGAAGGGGGGGGAGGAGGGGGGAGAGGGGGGGAGGAGGGGAGGGGGGAGAGGGAGGGGGGAGAGGGGGAAGGGGGGAGGGGGGGGAGGAGGAAGGGAGAGGGAGAGGGAGGGGGAGGAAGGGGGGGTTTTGCTGCAGGAAGTTCCACTGATGGCAGTTTGACAGGAGCACGCACTAGGCTTTAGTTCCCAGCTCTGAGGGCCGAAGGGCATCGTCGGTCGAGTCGCTCTCGGGCTCCGCACCGTCGCCACAGCCGAGCGGAGCCGCACCTTCCATGGCGGCCCTCAACCAGGAAGTGAGTGGCAGGATCCTGGCACAGGAACCCAACGCTGCGGTTAGTCCTGTGACCCACTCGGGGGCGGACATGTTTCATACTGGCAAAATCACGTGCCTCTCACTCCAATCCTCCCCTCCCCCCCTCTCCCCCACCAGCAATGAACCCCCCCCCCACACCCCTCCCCCCCTCCCTCTCCCCTCCCCCCTCCCTCTCCCCCCCAGCAATGAACCCCCCCACACCCCTCCCCCCCCTCCCTCTCCCCCCCCCCAGCAATGAACCCCCCCACACCCCTCCCCCCCCCTCCCTCTCCCCTCCCCCCCAGCAATGAACCCCCCCCACACCCCTCCCCCCCTCCCTCTCCCCTCCCCCCTCCCTCCTCCTCCCCTCCCCCCCAGCAATGAACCCCCTCCCCCCCTCCCTCTCCCCCACCAGCAATGAACCCCCCCACACCCCTCCCCCCTCCCTCTCCCCCACCAGCAATGAACCCCCCCACACCCCCTCCCTCTCCCCTCCCCCCTTCTCCCCCACCAGCAATGAACCCCCCCCACACCCCTCCCTCTCCCCCCACCAGCAATGAACCCCCCCCACACCCCTCCCTCTCCCCCACCAGCAATGAACCCCCCCCCACACCCCTCCCCCCCCTCCCTCTCCCCCCCAGCAATGAACCCCCCCCCACACCCCTCCCTCTCTCCCCCCGCAAGACCCCCCCCACACCCTCCCGTCTCCCCCCAGCAATGAACCCCCCCCACACCCCTCCCCCCCCCCAATAATTCCAAGTTGTTAAAAGTCTCACATTCTCTCATTGACGAGGAGTCAGCATTTACCATTTATTTTATTTTATTTTATTTCATTATCATCGTTCATAATAATGACCGATAATTGCCGTCATTTCTTTTGAGACGCATTGGACACTGTAATGCTATCGTGAGGTTTTTTTCTTGGGGTTGGGGGGGGGGGGTAGGAGGAAGGGGCTCACCCTGTGTTTCACGAACCTGCCCCCCCCCCGAGACTTGCAATCGTTACGGACAACGAGGCGCTTGGTTTTTCACGTTTTCTTTTCACGTTATTTTGAAAAGTCGCATTTCTGGTCTCTGTTTTTTTTTCTTTTCCCCCTCGCCCCAACCCCCAAGGCGCGAAGGTGACTTTGAGCGCCTTTCTCGGGGAATGCTTGTGAGTGGGTGCGATTCTCTGTAGGGAGGGTCTGGTATCCTCCTAACCCCAAATACTTGGCGCAAATTGGGCATTAGTTCCAGGAAAGTTTTAAACTGGAAACATTGGAGTTCAACGACTGTCCGGCACAGCACTCGCCCCTCTGGCATTCCTCCTGTCGTCAAGGCTTTTGACCTGTAAGGTTACAAAACACGTCCAGAATTATCATTAATGACAGGATGGCGTGCCTTGCAGAGTCCTCTGATTCAGTTAAAACCCCCCAAACCCCCCACTTACCTCAAGAATATTGTGACATACTGTATTGGATGCAGCAGCAGGAGGTCAAAACCATAGCAAAATGTACCCCAAAAATCGAGCCTCAAATCTGTTCTTTGATATGTGGGGGGAAACGAATCGGACGGACGACCGCAAACCTATTTTCTCACAAAGATAATTTATTCAAACAAACACATACAGCAAAACCACTGATAATCCCCCCCCCCCCCCCGGGATAAGTTGGCAACCCCTCCTCTCCGATTGTCCCGCAAGGTTTGGTCGGTGAGCGTGATAATAACAACAACAACAACAACAACATCATCCCTGGCATTTGACAGAGCGCCTTATCACGTCTTCGAGGCGTCTCAAAGCGCTTCGCAGAAGGTGCGGCAGAGTGTAGTGACTGTACATTTTGCGGGTGAAACGCGGCAGCCCAAAGGGGCACAGCAGCGTCCCCGCAAACCCTCAGCGGACGGAGCGACGGGCGGGTCGGCCAGAGCCGAGGCTTGTGGGGGGGGGGGAAACCACTGGCGTTTAACCAGCTTTAAATTGAGAGGAGGGGGTGGGGGGGGTCACTCAGGTGTTTGTTTGAGACTCTTCCCACCCCCCCTCCAGTAACTGTGTCTTGGGAGCTGCGGGGCGGAAGTAGAGGCGGAAGTAACAGCGGCGGGGCGGAAGTGCCCGCTGGTGGGCGGGCGGGCGGGCGGGCGGGAGTTCTCCCAGAGGTCCCCGCGCTTCGCGAGGGCTTGTGGGCGGGAAGCTGCTACAAGATGGCGGCCTCCGTGTCAGGCTATACCTTCAGCTCTCTGGTCTATCATCACAGCAACAGCCCCTCGGACCACGTAGGTGACACCGGGCGCTCAGCCCGCGTTCCCCCCCCTCCTTCCCCTTCCCCGCCACCCGGGGAGGGCAGCAGGCGCCGGCCGCTGGGGGTGAGGGGGGGAGATGGCAGCGGGTTCAGGGCCCCCGGAGCTGCTGGTGTTTTTGTTCCCCGGGTTTTTATTGCTCGGCCTCGGCGGGGGACAGGCTGTCAGGAGCCCAGTGCGAGGAGGATATAGGCTATAGGCGGCCTCGGCGTCGGGATACAGCTGTTTCTAAACCCTCTGAGGATCCCTTTTCCTCCCCCTCTCTCTTCCTCCCTCCCCTCCCCCCCCTTTCTCTCTCTCTTCCTCTTCCTCCCCTCCCCCCTCTCTCTCTCTCTTCCTCTTCCTCCCCCCCCCCCCCCCCCCCCCCCACCGGCTTGTGCCTGAGTTACTCCGCTCAGGGCGGGTGGGTTGAATCCACTGACTTTCATTTTCGGTTGAGTTCATCTGCGGCCACCGACTCGCCCGAGACTGACCTGACCCTCGGGCGGCGGCGGTCGGCTCCCACCGTAAGGAATTAAAAGTCTTGTGATTCCTCCCACTTTACTGTCCTGTCCGTATGTTTTACTTAACCGGCAGTTTCTTTTGTGACAAACTCGCAGCGTTTGTAAAGCGATGAGCTGTGCATGACTCTGGGCGAGATATTAGTCGAATTCTATTAGGAAAATTCAGTGCGACTAGTTTTTGTAATAACTTTTCTTTTGGCCTCCCAATGTTCCCCACGTCGCGGAGAAAAATTTCCTTTTTGCGCCTGAGCAGGAACTTGTTTTTCTGCCCTGGGTCTCAGTGTGAGAGTATTTATTTTCTTAACATTCACAATAATATTCAAACATTGTAACATCTTAGTAAGAGACTCATCATTTGCGATCCCTGTGCTTTGAGTTGTAAACATGCCACAGTTTTGACAGAGCAATAGAATGATCTTGTTAATGTAAGTATCAATTGAGATTGTGGAATTCATTTATTCCTTGGAAACTAGTTTTTAAAATGATCTACAGTTAATTAGCCCACAAAAATACAGTTAATGCACTTTACAGTATATCCTGTGAAGCGCATTGAGATGTCCCAATGAGTGATAAGGTGCTATATAGAATGCAAGAATTATTATAATTTGTGTAGTTAGTGTTGATTTGAACAGTTTTAAATGTCTCAGGTGCGATGCAGTGAATAGTCATTGCAGTAATAGAAAGATTAACAAATGGTCACTCAGTTCATGGCTGTTTGTGGAACATCCCTGTGTGCAAATTGGTTTCTGCGTTCATCTACCATTACAGTTACTAAAACTTCACAGTAAAATCCTGTGAAGCGCTTTGAGACTTCTTATTGACGTGGTAAAGTGCTTTATCAAATGCAAGGATTATAATAAACAACTTTTATTTATATAGGACCGTTCAAGTAAAAGTAGATGTCAAATCAGATATAAGCATTCTAAGTAGAATCAGCCCTTCAGGTGAGCTGCTTTTGTCCTGTTGGCTGCTGGTAAAATTCAAGACCCAAACTAGATTTATTTCTGTTTATTTGTTACATAACATTTGATTTATCGCTGGTAACTAAAACACTTCCTTCTGATTATCTTGCATTTTCCATGCAGGAAGGATTTCTCTTGGGGGAGGTGAAGCAGCAGGAGATGTGCAGTATTAGTGATTCACATATAAGCAATACAGAACTGCTGCAAGTAATAGGTAAGCTTCACAATTCTGTCTGTGTGATAGGGATGTGGGAAAGAAAAGTAGCTTTAAAAAACCCAGATTTAGACTAAAATAATGATGCTACTGATATAAAATATATAATTTAGACTAATTTAGGAATGCAAGTAGCTGGCCAAGGTTCATGTTCAGAGTTCACAATAGTTGTGATTTATTTTATTTCATTCCTTAAGATTTTTTATTATGTTTATTTTATTTCAGTCCTTAAGAACTGGCAGTATATATGTTATTATAAGATGTACATCTGTTTTCCACATTGTTAGGTAAAAGGTAATTTGGAATATAAACAATGAAAGGAGTGGGTTGAAATGTGTTCACAATAGAATAATAAATTGAAAGAGTTTTATGTGTGAATAATGTTGTGATAAACCATTACTTAGAATATTTCACAAGTAGGTTTGATACTAGTACTCTCAATCCCTTCTTAGAATTGGAGGAGTGTTTTTAGAATTACATTGCTTTTGTCAGTGTTTGTTTAGAATTGACATTTAAGACGCAGTAGCCTTCTGTGATGTTTTATTAAGATTTGCAACATTATTATTTTGGAAGTATGTTGCTTTTTTTATTTGTTTTTAACAATAATAGCAGTAGAATGAAAGAGATAGAGGCAGTAGAAATCAGAATTAAAACTCTCTGGTTGGTGAAAGATACAAGGAGATGGAGGAAATGTAATATTCTGTGAGCTTGAAACTTGAGCTGAAAAGACAAATAGGTGGTAATCTTTTGTTTTGGTTTAAATATTCTCTAATTTAAAAACTTGTGAGGGTTGTAGCTTTTTCATGTCACTTCTGTTTGCTAAATCACTGATCATTGATCTTGTGCATTTCATCTAATAGAGCAGGGGCATTTTTTTTGTCAGTTCTTTAAACTGTTACCTCGTATCTCTTGCAAGTCTAGTTAACAGCTATCATCTTTGCCTCCACTCTTAGCCCTCCCATCTATTAATCCATTCATGACCTTGCTCCCTTTGATTTCAAATGGGAACGTTATATCACTTCCATTCCCGTAAGCAACTTGCACTTGACATAAATGTAAGGTCTTAAAAAGCACTTTAGAAGTCAAGAATATTGCAAAATAATTACAATGCTTGTAATGCCAAATAACATTTCAATAAGCTGTTTGCAGAAAGTACATAACTGGGACCTCTTTGAATTGTGGTTGGAATTTTGCCAGAGGTCATAATACCCAAATACGTACTGAGACTATTTTATGTACAAATTGCAGCCCTTTTGCACATACAAGAATAAAAATGAAAGATGAACAAATAGAATGGTAATTTGTGCCAGCAAGGCTCTTGGCATGAGCAATGAATACCTGTAATAACATGACACTTTTTCCCCTCTTTAAGACTCAATTTGCAGTATAATTATAGTGTTCACGTGATGATGTAAATAGTTACTTTAAGATCACTGATAATGTTATAAGGAATATAGTTTAGGTGCAATATTGGAGTGTAAATTCAATGATGCTTATTCCTGTTTCACTCCAGAAATCCACAATCACGAACCTGGTTACCAGCTCTTTAGGTAAGTCCTTTGATTGAGGTGCAGTTTAGTTGCTATCTATGAAACATTTTATTTTCTAACCGATTGCCCGTGATAAACTTTGGGTTCTTAATTTAGTCTAACATTGCAGTTTAATCTAATATGACATGTTTTATTATCTCTTGGTTTGATTGCCAACTATTTCAGTGAAGCTTTCTTCAATGGCCTTGTGGTAAGGGTAGCTTTAAGGCCACACAAGCCAGAAGGCTGCACATTTCAATCACACAGTCTCTGATACATTAGTTCAACTCAATCAGAACGGCAGTTGGGAGCACTAGAGTTGACCTTGCAGCCTCATGGGCTACGGAGAAGAAACATCAATTGGATTCTTGTTTTCTAATTGCTGTGTAATTATCCCTACTGAGAGTGCATATGTGTGGACATTTAGTGAGGAGAGAATGGCTATGATGTCTCTTAAGTGTATAACCTGCATTCAGATGTGGTACACACTGTGCCTTTGGCTGCTGCTCACGGTTGCTCCAACTCATGACACAGAAGTTTGAGTACGTCACCTCTTCGGAACCTTTTAACTACTTGTGTAATGGGAATGAAAACAGAAAAAAAATATCCGGGAGCAAAATTGCTTAATGTCCTGGTGCGGTTCTTGACCTCTGTGACTCATGTTTAGGAAGTATGTCAGTGAGTTAAAAGCTTTACCAAGTTTTATCAATCACATGATAATGTCTGAATACTTATGAAACTGGTGTGTAAAACAACAAGAACTTGCATTTATATAGCGCTCTTCACTCAGGGTGGAATCCTGGAGCACTTGCCACTGGCGGAGTGTTCCAGGGTTTTGGGGTGTAGTCACGGGTAGTGGGTTGGCGAATGAGCAGGTCGGAAAGGTTGGGAAGTGCCGGGCAGGAAGGGATTTGAAAATGAGTGTGCCAGATACTTTTCCGACTGGTTTGTGGCTCTGTGGCAGAAGCAACGCTCTGGCTGTGTTCTTAGAAACAATTTACAGTAACCTGTAGATTTTCACCGTTCAGATATAAACAGTACCAACCATAGTAAATTTTATAAAACCCACTACATCCTCTTGGTTTATTTCAATTTGTCATTTTCAGCTTTTACGACTATGCAGGAAGAGTCGATGAAGAAAGTCTGGATAGAATTCTCAAGGGAAGGAAAAAAGTAAGTAACTACTTGTAAAAAGACTGCAAACATTTGTCTTTTAAGGATTATGTGTTTATATACCAACTAAAATGGCTGGTTTCAGTATTACTTTCAATAAGTGAACATGAATACTGCTTTTAAAATCAGAACATTGGTACTGATTCAATACGTGCTATCAGTATTCTGTGTTTTCCGTTGCTGAAGAACATTGAATCATTTATGTTTGATAAAAGCTTTCTTAAAGTATCTGCAGTAGTTTTGAGGCAGAGCGGGTTGAACAACAATAAAATTTCATTTGTATAGCGCCTTTCACATCAACATTTTTGAGATTTTGAAATCCTCAATGGACAAATTTGAATATCCATGTGCACTTGAAGTAGCTTGTTTAGCTTTTAATTTTTGGCCACCTTACTCAATATTGCATTGTAAGGCAAGAACATGTTCCATCTGTCAGGAGCAGACTATAGAGAGGATCAGACTTCTTCGGTAAAATGTCCACAGAGCGATGGTATCAAGAGGAAAAACAGGAGAAAAGACAAGAAGTGCATTTAGTTACGATGTGAAAGATAACTTTACATGGGAGAGAGGTTGCAAATATTTTAGGTTTCTGTTAATGGATTTTGTATTTTAGCAATTCTAGTGCACTGTCAAAATTAAGCCTTTGCTTTTTATCATTGAAAGGTCTAATATTGTTTTCCTTTTATAGAATGTTATTGGCTGGTATAGATTTAGGAGGAATACACAGCAGCAAATGTCCTACAGAGAACATGTCATCCACAAACAGTTGACAAACATCCTCGGAGTGCCTGATCTTGTCTTCCTTCTCTTCAGCTTCATCTCTACTGCAAATAACTCCACACATGCTTTAGAGTATGTGCTTTTCAGACCAAATCGCAGGTAAGAAATGCCAGGAAGCAGCAGCTGCCTTATGCAAAATCCTTTTAAGCAAATATAAGTGTTTAGTGACAGAAATGTATTTGTATTGTGCTCCTATAAATGGCAACACAAATTATAAATTAGAACTGACACAAGCTGGCATGGAAATTCTCTTGGGAAAATAATTCCTTAAAAATAAATCCCTTCCTATTTATCATTAGGACAGAATTTTTTAAAATAAAAATAATCCCTTCCTAATATTCAATCATTTTAAAACAACAACAAATTTACATTTATATAGCACCTTTCGCGTCCGGAAGACAACCCAAAGCACTGGCCTAAGGATATACCTCCCAGCGTATTGGGTTTATGGTTTAGTATGAATAACAATTTAAATGTTCACTTTAATATGTACATGTATGCTTTGTGGATTGATGAGAATTGTTCAGTACTGATTAAAATTTGACTTTCTGGAGGATATTTTTGTTGTCTCTCATCAAAGTGCTGACCTCCATCTGATTCTTGTCCCCCAATGGCCATTATCTGTGAACATCAATGTTGAGTGGTAGCAGACTGTGATTGTGGAGCAATGGCAGGAAAGCCTAATTCTATCCTCCACTGACATTCACATAATGTTAGTTTTCCAGCAGGAATCACTGGATAATGATGAGGGATAAGAATCCCGGATGATTTGTTTCATTCTTACCAACCCTTCCACCCTTTGTGCCTCTCCCCAACCTGAGATACTGAAACTGATTGGAATCCAACTCCTGGAGCCATGAGATCAACCAGTTCAGTACAAGAATTTGGGGCGTTCTGTGTCTTAACTCATTCCTGTACTTTGCTGCTTTTCAGAACTAAGCCATTAGAGGAGCTTCAGAGTTTCGCACTTTTTAAGTATTAGATTCTCTGAAACAATTTAAGCAAATAATTTCACAGAAATAATTCCAGGCAGGGCGAAATCTTGGGCAAGTTTCCTTACTCCACACACCTAATAATAATTCCCTCCAAAACAAAATAACAGGTCATTTTCAATCCACCACTATTTTGTGGGACACTGCTGTGCGCAATTGGCTGCCACGTTTCGCCCTCAAAAAATATACGGTCAATTCACTTTACAGTCTATTCTGTGAAGCGCTTTGAGATGTCGAGGAGACGTGAAAAGCGCTATATCAAACGCAAGGATTATTATTATAGATAAATTTTCAACATTTGTCTTTTTTTTAAAAATGAGGCAGTCGTACATATTTTAAAACTTGCTACCTCTTTGCAGGTATGATCAGAGAGTGTCGCTTTCAATTCCCAATTTGGGTAATACTAGTCAACAGGAATATAAAATTTCCTCTGTGCCAAACACGTCACGGAACTATGGCAAGGTGGTGACTGAACATGGGTACGTATCAAACAAAAAGGTTTCCAATCGTTCTAACATGTTTTTATGGTATACAAACTACATTCCTCTGCAGTAAATAGAGTGGTATTGTCGCCAGAATCAGACTTGTGAATTTAATAACTCCCTGAGAATTATGTGCGCATTAATTGTTGGCAAGAAATGTGTAAATGTGCGATTAAGCATGATCTGGGGATTATGAATTCCTTGTGTTGAAATTGAGCCAACACAATATTAATGCAGTGAGGCTGGCTTTTATGGATGTCTGTGGGTACTACAGTGGATCATAGCTGGCAGGTTTATTCAGAATTTCTTTATTTATGGTGATAGAAACTAAAGATGAAATATAAGGTCGTTTGCACTGGACTCAACTGTCAACAGAACTAGGTTTGTGAATTTAATAAGGCCTAGGAATTATGTACATATTAATCGTTGGCTAGAAATGTGTAAATGCGAGATTAAGTATGATCTGGGGATTATCAATTCCTTGTGGTAAAATAGAGCCAACACAACATTAATGCACTGAGACTGCCACTTTTGGACGTATTGTAACCTTTGCTGCAGTTTCTCTCTGTATTTACGATTATAGTTACTAAACCTGACATATAGCTGATGCTGATTCGCACTGCACGTTTATCCTGTAAACTTATCTCTGACATGTCTTTGGTACCTCCTGTTAAAGAGTGATTATCAATTGACATTGTGTGGTGGTGACATTGCCAAGTGTAGAGTCTGATGTGAATCATGCTGGAATTGCACTTGTGAAACCAGGCGGCAGAGATGGTCTCAGGAGCAAAGCGATTTGCATCCGTTCAGTATAAACTGCCCAGAACTTCTCCCCCATTGCTCCTTCCAAACCTCTAAAGGGATCTTGGAATCCATTTTAATATTGGTAACAAGCTGATTTCACAAATGAGCTATTTAATAGTGTTAAAATCAAATGACCAATTTTGGTGCACTGTGCAGAATGCCAACATTTAAGTGATGCTGCTCAATTTAAAGCCACATAGGACAAGCAATATAAGCTCCTTTCCTATTCCAAGCAATTTTAGCGTTAAGTATTTGTTGTAAGCAAAATATCTATTTACAACTTATCTTTGCGCGTGCAAAACAAACAGGTTTTAGCCTTTATAATGTAATACACTGTTGTGCTCTACTTTAAATAGGGCTGAATTCTTCGATAAAGATGGAGTGATGAAAGACATCAGGGCCATATATCAGGTGTATAATGCACTTCAGGAAAAATTACAAGTAAGTGTGACTGTTTGTGTGTGACTTGAGATTGTGTGTGTGCATGACTTAAATTGTGTGTAACTGAGGTTCGATTCGTTGAAAGTTGTCTCTTATGCACGTTTGAAATTCAACCGCTCTGAATTGGAGATTTTGAAAATCTGTACATAAGGTATACGGTTGTGAACTGTTTATTCCTACAATTAAAGATATATTGCATTGAATGGAATATGGAGCTAGGCACAACATTTTTGGTAATTCTCCACATTTTTCACTTTATTTAGATGTGGACATTCAGCTCTTTTCTTCGCCCCCCCCCCCCCCTCCCCCCACCATTCATGTCTGAAATAATTGGGTGCATTTTCATAACTCTCTGCAAAACATTTTTTATTCACCAAGAAGGCATTTATCGATGCATTCCGAGATTATTTCATTGTAGCCAGCTTGGCCTCTTGACCGTCCTGTGAAATTTGCAAGAGAAATGATTTACTAATCTTTTATAAAGTAGGCATTTTAAATTGTTTACTCACTTTGCTGTGTGCGTGTTCGCCTATGAATGCACGGTCACTGCTTTGCAATGAATCTTGTGAAGTGCTTTGAGACCTGTCAATGAAGTGATAAGATGCTGCAACAAATGCAAAGTCTATTACAACTGAACTTCAATATTAAAATTTGAGATATCTAAGAGTACAGAGTTTCGATAAATCAGTGACTTTCAGCTTTGATGTATCATATGCTTAGGTGTATTTTAACTCTTTCAGATGGTATGTGGAGAAGTGGAAAAAAGTGAAAGAACAGTTGGAAGTTATCTGCTAGAAGTGGATAAACTAAAAGATCAAATAGCACTCAGGAAAAGGGAGATTGAGGAGGAGAATGGTAAGTATCCACTAATTGTACAGCAACTGTATGATGCAGTGTTGGGGAAACTGCATATTTAGAAATATTTGTCAGAGGTTCTCACTAAAGTGGAGCCAGTGTCTTATCTTCCATGACAAAACAAATGGACAAATACAACCAGTTGGGCTGTATCAGTACTTGTATATAAATTGTATTTTTTTAAAAAAAATTCAGTCAACTTCATTGACAAATAATGGTGGGGCGGCTGTATTTCTGTAAACAATGGGGAAGTTATATAAAAGTGGTTGGGCTTTATAATGGGGTATGTGGAGGGTTATTTTCATTGCTGCACGTTTCAACTGGTCAGTAAATTATTAACCAAGTCAAAAATCCACTGGTTTCAAACCTGAAACTTGGTACTTTTAGATCTAGTCCAGGTGCTTTTAGAAATCTGATAGAGGAGGTTCATCAGGTTATATCTGAGGGAATATTGTTTAAATGCTAACTTTCATTTAGTAATGTAGCAAAATCTGTGTTTTACCATACTGTTAACATTGTCGTCGAAATCAGGACAAGAATGTCGGTGCCCCTCGAACAGTTGTGTCCAAAAATGTTAACTTACACAATTTTGGCATGCTTGAGGGTAGCCCTTTTCTGTTCACTGTAGTGGTTGCTTTGCAAAATTCTGTTTCCTGAAAGTAAAATGTTGACTTTTGTTTAGATCTTCAGGAAGAGGTGCCAGTTAGAGAATTGGGCGAAGATAATTCAGCGCATGTTCCTCTGATCTGTCCTGGACAAGAAGTGGAAATGCACGCACAAGAAAACTTGGACACCTCTGGTACTCTGTTGCCTAATTCTGATGTTACTGTTCGGTGTAATATGCAGGTGACGAGTAGTGTTTATATGCCTCGTTTACAGGGCGTGGGTTCAGCCAATAAAGCATCATCAAGCACAGGTGCTTCCCACTACTATGGAAGCAGAATGGGGACACTCAGTTCACAAAAAGCACACGGAGACACTGTTAATAAGGGAGAGGACGATTATGAAAACTTCCATGAACCTTCAGAAACGTCTGACAGTAAATACCCTGTACTGGGTGAAACTCATCCTAATGCACATTCTGATGAAGATGCCACAGGCTCTCAAACTTCACAAATATAACAAACTGTTAAATGGCACTAATATGTGTTGCACATTTAAGTTTGAAAGATGGGGAAACGAAGATGCTTTTCAGGCCAAGCAATTCAATGGGTGTGACAAGGTTTCAGTGTACAGAAAATTTAAATTTCCTACACAAGATGATTTATTTGCCTTCATGCAAAGCAGTAGTGAAGATTTCAGCTAAATGAGATACAGGAAATGAAGGGTTGTTCTGTACCTTAAGAAAGGTTCAGGCATATGACCAAAAATTACTTCCAGAAGCATAATCACTAACTATTGGCATATAAAACAGCAGGTTTCTTTTTATAGTGGTATTTGCAGACAAACCCAAATGCTGTTGGATCTATACTTAATGAAGAATTTGTTTTGGAGACCGACAAAAAAACCTTACTTCTTGCACTANTTTTTTTTGCCTTGTTTGCAGGCACACAAAAGGGAATATTGTTGGTGGCCTTCAAAACTGAACCCATTTAAGGGCCAAATTAGTGCTTGTTAATAAATTTCGTAGCATAATTGGGGGAAAAAGATCGATTTATATAATCGCTTTAGCTTGCACGTTGTGTGAGATTATTTATGTGACTAGGACTGTGTTATTTGGAATGTTCGGAATTAGGTAGCAAGTGTCATTGCTACAGTTAATCATCCAGTCCTTTTAAAATGGAAATTTTCAATATGTAATCCAAACAATACTTGGTTTCTTTATCAATTATGTGCCTGACCAGTTGTAGTCTAGCAAGATTTGTGAAAGCCTTTTCCGCAGTGCTGTCTTGTTTATCAATTATTGCTATATTCCTTTTTGGGTGCTGGATTTTTTTTTGGTTTTATTGTAATTCTCCCATTTGCCAAATTTTTAGTGTACAATTTGTTTTGACAGAGCTGGAAGGTTCATAGAAGATCAGTATCAGTTATTTTTCAGATTTATAGACACTTGAAGCAAAATCCTTGTAACTTTATCTTGCATAGGGTTCTCGGTGACCTGCTAACATCTCAATTGTATGCTCTTGTTTGAATTCTGAATTTGTCTAAAACACGGTTGAGACATTTATATAAAAAAAATCAAGTTTAAATCGATTGAACAAAATCTGTGTATCTTTAATTTGCTATTGGAAGTGCTTCACAGGTCTTTAGAAAAAGTTTAAAATGTTTTGTTCAACACATGAGAATTATTAGTGTACAGTTGGGCTGTCAAGTTTATCTTGCAAGGAGATTTTGGTTAATTTGCCCTGTCCTGTTCTCAGGAATTCCTATTTTTTTCAACAACAAAAAAGACAGAATGTGTACTGCCTTTTTAAAAAATAATAGGTTAACTCTCCCAGCTGTAGGCCAAGGCATCTACTGATAATCAAGTTTTATTCAACTGAATTTACACTTATAGAGGTATTTGAGAACTCCTGCTAGGAAAAAAAAGCACTTTGTCCCAGTTATTTTTAATTATAAATGCAATTTGTTTTGTTTTTTTGGGGGAAAAACCCCGTCTGAATGTTGTTCACAGTTGCATAACATGAAAGAGATTTCATCTGATCAGTAACTAATATGACCCAATGCCAATTCCGGCAGTTTTTAGAGGTTTGAACAAATGTAATTATGAAGAGATAATATAATTTACCAATGCTTCATTTCGGGTTTCCTTTGAAACCATTGATTACAGCAAAATGTGTTTCTTTACATCAGAAACAGTAACATTTAAAATTGTATAATCATATCTGAACTAAGCTCTCGCCTTCTTAGAGTAGGCTATATACTGATTGCACAGGTTTAGAGGAACATTTGCAATATCAAATTGTTACCATTTGTCAAAGTTGAAAGTTTGCATTGGCAAATCATAATTACAGTAAATTCAAAGGGATGCTTTTGAACTTGATACTACCCATCAATCTGCCCATCAAGCATCACATTAACCCAGCTGCCATTACTCACGATAATGTAACACAGGGTAATATAAACTGGAATAAATTAGCTAGTGAGAGGTTGTTGCTAGCAAATCTACAGATTCATTAACTAGTTTCTTAAGAATGTTTTTAATTTCAGTTATATAAAAAAATCTTCATGATCGCGATGCTGATAATAAATGTCATTAGCTATGTCAAATTCATTTTCTATGAACCTTCTTCTGTAGCTTCTGAATTTGGAATCTGAATGCCATTCTAAATGGTAACGTGCCATAATTATGGAGTGGTAGTAATTGAAATGGCATACTGGTGCATTACAGGGAACCCTATATTTAGGGTAAAGGTTCACTCTTGGTGTGTGTCAACATTTAGATGTAATAATCATTGCCAATTTCAGACTAGAAGTAGTGTAATATATTTGCTTCATATAAAGTATAACATCTTTTCAGCAGCACTGTCACCCTTCACCTTGTGAACACTTGTGCTTGAAAACTTGTCGCGAGGTATCCTTTTACATTTTCTTGTACTAACTGTGTTGCATAATTTTAAGAGCTTTACAGCTGCTAATATTTGTTGCTCTACACTATAATGTGACTGAACACAAGTTAAACATGATTTGATGTAACCTTAACCAGACGTTAAGTTTTTAAAAATATATTTTTAATTGTGCCAACTAATTTTCTTGACGGTTTAACTTTTTAGTGTTTGCCAAATATAAAAATAGCACTGTGTGTTCCTCAACCTGTTTGTTCCTCCATTTAGAACTGTTTAGAACTACCGTTCGTTCCTATTAGGATTTAGTCCAAAACAGACCAATCCAACCTCTATAAGGCTATGACACGCACTCTTGCATGACTTCAGCAACAGGAGCAAAGGTCGAGTAGAATGTAAATATAATTTATGTCCCTGAAAGGTTGTAGTGTAGCACCTTTGTAATGCACTGGTAGCATTTTCAAGCTACTCATTCACATTTTGCTGAAGTTTTTACTTTTATTTACTAACAGTTAACAATTGTTGCCTTTTCTTTTTCATGAAACCAAGTTTGACAGTAGGCCAGTGTTGAAGTGTTTGAAGTTTTGTAAATCTTAATGTGCGTATTTGCAGAATGTGCAATTGCTGCATTTGGCAGCTTTCATGGATTTGGTCTGATATGATAACCGATGGAATTTTTGGTAGTTTATTAATGAAGAGACATTCACGACTCAGTCATGTGGCAAATTTCTGTTGTCTAACCACTTTTCTAGTCGCAGGACTAGTTTCCCAAATGACAGGGTAATAAAAAAAAACAAAGCTAGGGATTGATTCTCGTTTCTTTTCAAAACGTGATCATTTCTCCGAAGTTTGAACTGTGCTGCTGTAAAATATTCTAGCAGACCGTAGCGGTTATCAAAATTGGTTGCAAGTCCTGTAATGAGAGTTCAAATAGGTGTTCACATGACCTGCTCATATTGAAGTTGATGATTAAGGTGGCACTAACCAAGTGACTACATCCCTAAAGTGCAGATTGATTACTTCCTACTTGATGCATTTTTTTTAATACCAGTGTGCTGGTATTGATCAGACCAAATGTATTTAGATGAGACTGATTTGAATTATGAAGTATTCACTGGCAGGATAGAAATTTGTGAACACACGTTTGGTCAAGGTCTATGAAGTCAGCAAGTTTGTCCTAAATGGAAGTGGAGAAATCAAGATGAAGTTAATTTTTTTTATAATATGCATATACCCAAAATATTGTATGAAGACTGTAAAAAAAAAAGGCAAAGGAAACTAGATATTTGTCTCCCTTATCCCTGGAAATAATTTAAATGATTTAAAATAAAAAACCCACTGTGAAATACCACTTAACCATTGCTATGTTGTTTACTATGCTCCACGTTCTTGTTCATATAGATAAGGAAGGCACCATTTTGATTGCACCCTGGATCACCTTAAATACATTTCCCTTGTTGCAGCTTTAGACGATGCTGAAATTCCACCATTTTGCATTAGCATTTCACCCAGGATGTTATAGTAGTTTTTGTTTCATTGTCCACAATTTGTTGCTGACTATCTATCTCCCTATTGCCCTCTATCTGAACTTGTTCATATTTGTTTGTGGCTAGGTAGCATCTGCTGTGCCTTAGCAATTCTGCATCTCTAACAAATATAATAAATTGCTCCTGGTAACCTTGTGCACAGGTCATATTGGATAATTGGAGTCTTATCCTGATTTCACATACGAGTTTGCCTACAAACCATGCCATCCCCACCTGTGAGGCCAGATACCCATTCCTTTTAATTTCCTCTTTTTTGGGGAAGCACCTTTACTTTCACTAACAAAGAAAATCAGTAAAATCGTTACAGTTGATGCTCTTTATTTGAAAGTACGATGTGTGTAGAAATGTGATACTGTAAAGTGCACATTCCTGAATTAATCTTGCTGGTTACAACACTTCATTTGTTTACCGTTGAATGTGAGTTACAAAGAAGTATAAAGAATCTACGAAGGCAAATATCCAGTTTTGAATCAAGCCACATAAGTTGCATGTGGAGTCCTGTAGCTCAGTGGTTAGAGCACTCGCTTTGCAAGCGAGAGACCAGGCAGAGGGCGAAACCTTGGGCAAGTTTCCTTACTCCACACGCTTAATAATAATCCCTCCAAAAACAATAATAAATTGGTCATTTTCAATCTACGACTGTTTGTGGGACATTGCTGTGCGCAATTGGCTGCCGCGTTCGCCCACAAATATACAGTCAATTCACTTTACAGTGTGTTCTGTGAAGCGCTTTGGGATGTCCTCCCGACGTGAAAAGCGCTATATCAAATGCAAGGATTATTATTATTATTTGACGATTTGAAGTCATAAATTAAAATAACCAAAATATGAAACAACTGTATAAAATAATACTCAAATAGAAAAATCTGTTAACATTTGAAATCCACTCATGGCACAGATTCTACAAAATGACAGTTTGGAGTCATTGGTCAAGTTTCAAACTAATTGGTCAGCTAGGATGTTGTATAAGTCATTGCTTTTGTTCTTCAAAATGTTGAAATTCTGGAAATCTAGAATACAGTGTATGTTTCAAGTATCAAGAGTGCTTTTCAAGTATTGTTCAGTTTGCACATAATGCCAGTGCTATATTATTTTCCTTGAGTTGGGAAGGGGGTACTTTAGGTTTTCTTCCTTTGACTCTTGTCGTTTACTCTCTTTTTGTGATAATAACTGATGCTGAGGTGTGGGCTATGTGTGAGTATTGGCAAGATATAGGAATCTCAGAACAAGTACATGATTCAGTCAAATGGATGAAACTCCTCCAAGCAAGTTTTTAGTTCTCATTAAAGGGGATCCATTCTGAGCTTTTTCTTTTGTTTCCTTGTCCTCTTTTTGGTCAATATAAGTCTGTAGAGATTTCCATAGTGCACGGATGTTTCCTTCTCCAAAGCCTGCAGCACCTTTTCGCTCAATCAGCTCCAGAAAAAAGGTGTCTTCAGAAAATAATGGCTTTGTGAACACCTGCATTAGGTATCTAAAAGAGACAAAGAGTGACTAATAAACTACACAACAACAATGTACATTTATGTAACACCCTTCATGCCAGACAGCATCTCAGCGCTTGACAAGAATTATTATTACAAGAATTAAAACAGCCTCCAGATCTGATATTGCTTATTATGTGACAAAGAACTTGTTTCAAATTTCCCACTTCACAAACCATTCCCTATTTAATTACAAGTGTTGTACAGGCAATCCAATCTCACCCTATAGTGTGCAAGAGCAGAAACAGGACATGGGTTGATTTCCCCCATGTTGCTGAGATTCCCAAGTCATTGTCTTTGGGAAGGTGCTGAGAAGAGGCCAACAGACTTCCCAGCACTTTCTAAGGGTTCGAATAGAATAGCATTGGAAGAAAATTGGCCACATTTGGTTTGTGGCCTGTCTAGAACTTGAGTAAGGTTACCAGAAAAGGTCAATTAATATTTCTCCCTTCAATCCTTCAGCTGTGAAGCGTTTCTATTCAAATTGATTAAACCTTTAATGTTCAGTCAGAAACCTTTTATTGTTGACAGTTGTTTCCTGACATTTGACTTCATTACATTGTTCCTCATCCAGCGCTGCATCCAGAAGAACACCATACTTTAAGAGTACATCTGGGTCTTGTCCTACTTCCATTATCTCCTGACGTTTGCTGGTCTGTAAAACATGTCAACAGTGTACCATAACTGATGCATTTGCCAATTGCAAAGAACATGTATAAAATATGAAATATCTCATGCTTTACAGAATTAAATGAAAACTTAAGTAAATGTTATAACAGCAAACCAAGGCCATATTTTTGGGGTGAATTTGGAATGAGAGGGCGAATATAAGATAGATAACAGGAGAAACTATGTGCTTTTTTGTAAAATGACAACAGATGCCTTAAAGTATACCTAAATCACAAGGCAAATAGGACTACAGTTGATGAATTTTTTTTAAAAAATACTTAGGCAAACATGACAGCCAACTGTGCTAGAAACAGTCCCACACACATTCAAATGCTTCTGTGGTGGAATTTAATGGAGGAAATATTAGCATGACATTTCAATTTGATTTAATAAAGAATTAAAACTAATTGAAATTAATAAAAGTAGAGGAGGAGGAATAAAAGTAAAGCTGCAATCTGGAGCATCAGTGAATATGCGCACACAGATTGTATTAGTGGTCCAGATCAGTCGCAGTCGAGCCATAACCTCTGTTTTTTCAGTGACTTCTCATCTGGAATGAATCCCTCAGGTTGGATGCATTCTCTCTGCGGTCTTCAGCGACTCTTGTCTCATTGAGACCTTCAACATCTGTGAGTTGAGTGTCCCCACACTCTCTTGGGAGAGATGCTTGAAAATCAAGCTGTGAATGTGTCATGGACATAATTTGCAATTAATCTAAAACTGGGGCAGGGAATCAATTTTTTTTGTTCCTTCCTTCCAGTAACAAATAATTAATGTTGACTGATGCATTGATGACATCTTGTTACAAAACAACCTGCTTGCCGCACATTCAGCATTTATAGCAATTCTTTGCTGGCCACCTGCCAGTCTGCCCTTTATCACACGAGGACATGTGTTGTTGAATGACTACATGTTAAAAATAATTAAGTGTAATATGAGTCTTTCTATTTTGCACAGAAAATAGATGGTTAAGAGAGTGCCATATCATGCTTGAAGCCTGTAAATTCTGACATTTTTAATGCAATTTCTCCTACAATTCCACTGGGCAAATATGAATTTGATCTGTGCTTCATTTTAGGTAACAGTGTTTTTAGTTTTTCAGAGAAAGTATTATTTAATCAGAAGCTTTCCCTTCAGTAATTTAGTCCACATTAAATCTAAAAAATTGAGATTTGGCAGAACATGTAACATTTATATGCTAAACATCTGGAATATTCCTGTGCAAACAACATTTTAACTGACTTTCAAAGGTCACTTTTCCCTTCAATAAGCAATGTCTTGAAAATATGCATGTAAATTGGCAAGCCACATGTGAACAGTCCAAAAAGTCACAACGACACGTCTTGTGCTGGTAAATGCAGCAGGGTACACCTCTCTCCTTGTTCTTCCCCTTCGTTTAATCACTTGCAATTTATGTAATGCCCTTCATGCAGGACAGCATCTCGGAGACCATAAGTGCAGTCAAATAGGTAGGTCTTCCGGTGGGATTTAAAGATGGATAAAAATGAGACAGTGGGTTTAAGGCAGCTAATTGCAGAAATTAGGGGCATAGTGGCTGAAGGCATAGCCACCAATGGTGGTGTGGAGGTATCGGAGGACATGCTGCAGGCCTTTATCAGTTTCCGAAAACAAAATTAGCAGCTCGATTACAATATTTGACATTTCTACAATTAATTCATGTTGAAATTAATAACTTGCGCCGGGGAGTTAAGTTAATGCAAAACCCGTAATTGCGAGTAACCTTGAAGAATTTTGTTCAGCAATAAATTGGCAGGAAAGCCCTGGTGGCAAGTTCACTTCTTCTTGGAGGCATCAGCTCCGATATGACATTCACAGACACAGTAATGTTAAATCACTCCCAAGGGAAAACAATAATAATGTCTCACCTCTACAAAGCAAACTTGTTATTTTTCAATAACTGCAAAAATTGTGGACAGTCAGTGCAAAACATGTGCAGTGCAACTATCACAAAAACTGGATTATATGCACACATTTAATGCATTATGCAATGACTGTTATTTAACTTTATAATTTATCACCTTGTCAATGATTGCCATAAAGTCTTGTACTATACCTCAGTATAATAGGCAGGTGGTGGAAAGAAAAACTGGACCCCATTATCCATTAGGCATTTGGAAGTAGAGACTATGTCAGTCGTGTACAATCCTACATGTTGTATCCCAGCTCCATGATGCTGCTGCAAAAACGTATCAACTTGGTTCTTTCCTAAACATATTAATAAAAAGGTTTAAGGCACTTTTCCAATAGCCATCTCTTAGATAGATGACAGGGTCAGAATTAACAACAGCTGGATATACTCTGTGACCTTGCAGTGCTTGTGTGTATCCAGGCGCACGGTTCATTTCATCCAGTAATTCTCTAATTGTCAATCTTATCTGCAGACAGCTGTGGAAATAATGTACTTCTATATATAAATATATATGTATAATATATGGTATGTTAACTATATCCAGACCACTGTGTATATTTCAAGCGTAAAACATCCTATTTAAATATAGTTTAGTAATAACAAAGCTGTTGAAACATGAGTACATATATTCAGTTCTTGATGGGGTAAGGAGGGAAATCAGCAGATTTTAGAGGCATGTTGAAAGGTCAGTTTTTTAAGTAACTGAGGGGTGGATGGGGTAGATCAAATGAGCAAAATATTACTAAATATTCTTCCCAGAAAGTTGCGATAAGTGAATTCCATTTTTTTAAAAAAACATTAACATTTGAGTGTTAGAAATATGACGACCATGGCAATTTAAATTGAGATATAAAATGACATTAGTTTTACTTTAATCTCTGTTCAAAATGGTTTTAAATCATCACAAGGAATCATTATATTGCACTGTATCTGTCTTTACTGTGCAGATTTGAACAAATGCTGTGTGTGGAGAACGTGATGAATGAAATTGTGGATTATAATGACTCTCAATATAGGGAATCAATACAGTGGCTTCTTATTGCTTTGTTTTATAAATATGAGTAGCTGGTGCACATCATTTCCCTTTGTTCAATTTGTTAAAAACAATGTATTTTTATACCTCAAGTACACAATAGTTACCTTATATCAAACCTACTACACGTAGAAACTTGAGGGTAGCAAAGTGAAATGTAAATATGGAATATAGATTGATGCCTACAAATCCCTGTACACCAAATCCCATAGCTCAGGAACTTCCCTTTGCATGGGAACGAGGGGGGAAAAAAAGGAGTAAATGGTGGAGACCCTTGTACACCTGGAAAACAATTATTGGATGGGTAGAGACTTGAACAGGTCACCTGCTGTACTCTTATCAGGCACAGCAAGCTTCCATAGTGGTTCACTTGATAATGTCACCAGGAGGAGTCGAACTGAGCCGTACAGATCAGAAAGGTCCCAGCTTCAATCTCCAGCTTGGGTTGAATTTGTTGACCTTTGTCAAGGGAGGGAGTAGGTGGGTGCCCCAGTCGGCCCCAGCATTTCCAGGCCGAAAACAGAAAATCTTTCCGATTCCCCTCCTAGATAAGACGGTCAACATCGAGGGTAAGGATAGGTTCTGGCTCAGCTATGGTGTACCCCATCCTCCATGATCAAAATAGTCTATTGGCATTCACTGGTCACATTTAAATGACTGCATTGGCAAAGTACCAAAATGTAATAAAGTGAACCACAGATGACACACTGGAGTCCATCGAATTGTATTTTCAAAATTTAAGCCTCAATTTCTTCCTTGAAACTACAGTACACAAGCAAAATTAAGTCGATCTAGAATGTTCACAAACTTGTTCCTTAAAACATCTGGTAAAAGTACCCATTTTTTCAGCAATCGCAATCTGGCAACAGCAGTTTGAGCGTGAAAATACTCGTCAATATTTATAGCCAAGGATACAGGTCATGCAACAATTCACACAAACAATGTCACCTGATACCAGTTGGCGGTCTCTCAACTGAAACCCGTATGATCCAGCCAATAAGAATTTAAAATCTATTCCAGTTTAATTTAATACTCTTCAGTTGAACCTGATCTCAACAGGCTCCAACTTTCCTCGCTGTTATATTTAGCATGGTATGAACACCACGCTTCATTCTTACTACAGATGCAATTACATGTGCATGTTGTTTAAAGTGTCCCGTGACTGCTGATTTCATCATTTTGTATTCTATAATACGCCAGGATTCTCCACTTGTTAACTGATACAGCGTTCGCATTAACTTTTGGCTTCTACTTGTGTAACTATATTACTTTGATATTACATTTATATGATGCCATTCACGTCAGAAGGATGTCCAAAGGCGCTGGACAGTTAAGGGTTTGCACCTGAGCTTTGGAATCAAGAGGGTAGGGGGAGTGGAAGTGCAAGTTTGGCTGAAGCACGGTCAAAGAGGAAGGTCTTGAGACGGGCCTTGAAGGAGGCGAGGGAGGGGGTGAGGTAGAGAGATTCAGGGATGCAGTTCCAGAGATGGGGACAATAAAGCTGAAGGCCCAGACACCAATGGTCTATAACTGCAATTAATCTCCAAACTCCCAGGTTAGAGAGAGGGGTGGAATTAGAGAAATGATGCTTTTACTGACCATACTGTTATTCGGTGACCGCCTAAGTAGAAGTTGCTTCTGTGTACAGTTATAACACATTTATGTTCAAAACAACAGGAGGATGGAGGGGGAAGAAGAGAAAGAAATATGTCTTTCAAATTGTCGCCCTAATGTTTTAATGTTCTTCCAATGATGGAGTTAACCTTTAAATAAAACAAATATATCGGTTGATGTATTTTGCTTAAAAGTACCAATATCCTACTCGTACGTTTTACTGCAAGTGGCATACAACAACAACAAAATTACATTTGTATAGCGCCTTTCACGTCGGGAGGACATCCCATATTACTATGACTTGACATAATGGCTTTGCATGTAAATTTCCTGTAGATGCAGACAGAACTACCTCTGCCGAAAGGATGGGATACTTAATATTGTGTACCTTGGTACGGTAAGGACTCAGCGATCACAAACTTGCAGTCCATTTTTTTCTCCTTGGTGGCAGGGATTGACATACCAACTTCACTGCATTTCCAATAACGCATAGCAGTCAAGCGCAGTCCCACATCATTTCCTTCAATTACGTAGCCTTCATTTACATCTTCATTCCTAGCAAGAGCACACAAATTAGACATTAGAACTTTATAAAACTAACGACAGCAAACTTTATATGGAACAATAAAACTAATTAGTTCAGGGTTTTTTTTTGCAAATGGGTTGCAGTTCTTCCTAACAGAAAATTGTGCAACTTAAAAAATACTTAAGAGGTTAAACCGCGATCCTTGTGCTTAGAAGTGTAAAATGAGTGGCACATTTGATCCGCTGACCAAACAAACTTTGAACTTCTTTGATCTAAATTAGAAGTTGATCTGTGATACCTGAAACTGCTCAATCCATGCAATGTGCTTCTCTGAGTGCAGTATGGAAAATTTCACACAACACACGACAGAAGCCGTGCGCTCTCAAGCACTTTACAACCGGAAACTCACACCAGCGTTATATGCTATTGAACAAACGCACATTTTATACTCGAACCTTCTAACATAAAATTACAGGTATAAAATATGCGTTCGGTCAATAGTGTAACGACCAGTTTAATAAATGCCTGACCGCCAACTGTCATAAAAAAAAAGCTGCCATTTAATACGTCTTTCAGATGCCTCGCAGATAAGGCGCTATATAATAATCCCTCCAAAACAATAATAAATTGGTATCTTCAATCCATGACTGTTTGTGGGACACGACTGTGCGCAACTGTCTGCCGCGGTTCGCCCACGAATACAGTCAATTCACTTTACGGCATATTCTGCGAAGCGCTTTGAGACGTCGAGAAGATGTGATAAGGCGCTCTATCAAATGCAAGGATTGTTATTGTTATATCAAATGCGGGGATTATTTTTATTATTTACCGAAGCTCTTGAGTACGTGCAGCATTGAGTGAGTGGCGGGTAGTTTAAATACAATATCGCAATAACAGCCCCAATATGGCCCCACCCCCCCCCCCCCCCCCCCCCCCTCCATGTGGAGTCCTGTAGCTCAGTGGTTAGAGCACTCGCTTTGAAAGCGAGAGACCTGAGTTCAATCCCAGGCAGAGGGCGAAACCTTGGGCAAGTTTCCTTACTCCACACAGAGCCTAATAATAATCCCTCCAAAACAAAACAATAATAAATTGGTCATTTTCAATCTACGACTGTTTGTGGGACATTGCTGTGCGCAATTGGCTGCCGCGTTCGCCCACAAATATACAGTCAATTCACTTTACAGTGTGTTCTGCGAAGCGCTTTGGGACGTCCTCCCGACGTGAAAAGCGCTATATATGAAATGCGAGGATTATTATTATTAAAATATTATTAATTATTATTATTATATTATTATTATATTATTTATTAACACGTCGAGCTCCGAAGAATACAACCGAAGTTTAATTCAGTCTCTGATCACAGTGTTATCCTCCGCATCGTCCCCATGGCATGAACTGGGGGGAGAGGAGAGATGTATAAAGAGATTGGGGAAGAATAGTCATGAGGGGATCGGGGAGGGGGGAGAGATATAACACGGGGTGAGGGAGAAGATGTATTAAGGGATGGGGGGGATGCGGAGTGAGTGAGTGCGGGGTGGGGTGGGGGGTGGGGAGTGAGTATAGGGGGAAGTGAGTGTGGGGGGGGTGGTGAGTGCGGGGGGGGGGGGAGTGCGGGGAGAGTGAGTGCAGGGGGGGGAGAGTGAGTGCGGGGGGAGTGAGTGCGGGGGGAGTGAGTGCGGGGGGGGGGGAGTGTGGGGGGAGTGAGTGCGGAGGGGAGTGAGTGCGGGGCGGGGAGTGTGGGGGGAGTGAGTGCGGAGGGGAGTGAGTGCGGGGGCGGGGAGTGTGGGGGGAGTGTGGGGGGAGGGAGTGAGTGCGGGGGGGGGGGGGGAGGTGGAGGACTCACCGGCACAGGGGGAAGCGCTCGAAGCCGAAGCACCTCCGGTACCAGCCCAGCACACGGCCCGTGTCTCCCCGGTCACAGGCGTAGGTGATGTGGTCCAGGTGTGAGACCGAGACCCCGGGCCCGGGCCCGGCCTCCCCCCCCTCCCCCTCCCCCGGCCCCGGCCCCGGCCCGCGGGGCTCGGGGCTAAACCCGGGCAGGAAGTCTCCGCTGTAGGCGCTGCGGTCCACCAGCGTGTGGCAGACATTGCCGAGGGCCGAGCGCAGCACCGTGTAGGTGACGGGCCCGAGGCCGCCCTCCCCCTCCACCCGCCTGGGGGGCACCAGGACCCGGCAGCCCAGGCCGGACAGCCGCCGGGCCGCCTCCTCCACCCGCCTCACCTCGAAGCAGACGTTGGCCGCCGTGTCCACCCCGGGAGCCGGGGCCACGTCGTAGAGGAAGCCGCCCGAGGGCGAAGGCCAGGCCGAGGCCTGGGCCCGGGCCCGGGGCCTCCCTCCCGGCCTCTGGTTCACGATGAACACGGCCGAGCCCTTCCTCAGCACCTGCTGCTCGGCCGAGGCCGTGACCCGACTGCCCCACAGCCTGAAGCCATAGCGGCCCCGCAGCTCCCGGCACAGGGCCTCGCTGCTGCCCACGTGGAAGGAGATGTGGCTGAGCCCCAGAACCCGCACCACCGCCATCAGCCACCGCCCGACCCCGGCCTCGCCCCCTCATCATCATCATCATCATCTTCATCATCATCGGCTCCCACCGTCCTCATCATCATCTTCATCATCTTCATCGGCTCCCACCGTCCTCATCATCCTCATCATCAGCTCCCACCATCTTCATCATCAGCTCCCACCGTCCTCATCATCATCTTCATCAGCTCCCACCATCCTCATCATCAGCTCCCACCATCTTCATCATCATCTTCATCGGCTCCCACCATCATCATCTTCATCGGCTCCCACCATCCTCATCATCAGCTCCCACCGTCCTCATCATCATCTTCATCAGCTCCCACCATCCTCATCATCAGCTCCCACCATCTTCATCATCATCTTCATCAGCTCCCACCATCTTCATCATCATCGTCATCAGCTCCCACCATCATCATCATCAGCTCCCATCATCATCATCATCAGCTCCCACCATCATCATCATCAGCTCCCACCATCATCATCATCAGCTCCCACCATCATCATCATCAGCTCCCACCATCATCATCATCAGCTCCCACCATCATCATCATCCAACTCCCACCCTCATCATCATCATCAGCTCCCACCATCATCATCATCATCAGCTCCCACCATCATCATCATCAAACTCCCACCCTCATCATCAGCTCCCACTACCACCACCATCAGACAGTGTACAGCATTTCAGACCCGAGCTGGGATCGGGGGAGGGGAAGGGTGGTGGCCGATGGCATGGTCGAGGAGGAGGGTCTTGAGGCGGGACTTGAAGGAGGCTAAGGAGGGGGCGAGGCGGAGTGACTGGGGGATGGAATTCCAGAGGTTGGGGGCAGAGTGGCTGAAGGCTCTCCCGCCAATGGTGGGGCGGGGGATGTGGAGTAGGCCAGAGCCGGCTGAGCGGAGGGAACGGGTGGGTTGGTAGGGGGTTAGGAGGTCACAGAGGTAGGGTGGGGTGAGGCCATGGAGGGCTTTGTATGTGAGGACCAGGAAATTGAACTGGATCCTCTGAAGGATAGGGAGCCAATGGAGTTGGGCGAGAATGGGGGAGATGGGGTCACGAAGTTTGGTGCGGGAGAGGACACGCGCTGCAGAGTTCTGGATTATCTGCAGCTGTGGAGAGAGGAGTTGGGAAGGCCGACAAGCGGGGCATTTGCATAGTCGAACCTGGAGGTGATGAAGGCATGAACTAGTTTCAGTGTCCTGAGGGGTGAGGTAGTGGCGGAGTCGGGCGATGTTACGGAGGTGAGGGAAGGCAGAGCGGGTCATGGCTTGAAAGTGGGGAAGAAGACAGTTGAGGGTCGAACAAGACGCCCAGGTTCCTGACTAGCTGATGAGTTGAAGTGAGCAACCATGGAGGTTGATGCTGCCAGAGCCTGAGGTGCTGAGGCGCTGGCGCGAACCAATCGGGAGGACCTCAGTCTTGTTCACATTCAACTGTAGGAAATTTGCCCTCATCCAGGACTTGATATCCAACAGGCAGTCTGTCTGTCTGTCAGGACTGCAGTGGTCCTGGAGTTGAGGGTAGAAGCAGAAAAATAGAGTTGGGTGTCATCCGCATACATGTGAAAGTTGACCGTAGATATTAAAGAGGAGAGGGCCAAGGACCGAGCCCTGGGGGACACCAGATGTGACAGTGTGGGGGCTGGAGGAGAAACCATTAGAGGCAACAAAGTGGAGACAGTGAGAGAGAGAGGAATCGAACCAGGCAAGGGCAGATCCGTGAAGATTGAGTAAAGTGGAGAGGCGGTGTATGAGGATGGAGTGGTCGACAGTGTCGAAGGCGGCAGAGAGGTCGAGGAGGACAAGGAGGCAGAGGGAGCCCTGATCACAGATGTTCAGAATGTCATCAGTGACTTTGATCATCCATGACTGAGATACCCAAAGCATCAGCGTCCTCAGATACCTCACATACAGCTCAATCTATCAGATCATAGATACATAACAATGTCCGAAAGGAAATTGTAAAACATTTGAATGGAAACAATATGAAAGCATATGTATGCGGGGGGTGGGGCTGTGCAGTGATTGGTTCCAGTGGAGAATAAAAGCATTTTTTGGTTCAAGTGGGGTTCTGAGGAAACAATCAATTGTTACAAGCAGCTGTAAATAATGTAATTTTTGTAAACAATGTCTGTAAACAACGTTTTTTTAATAAAAGAGTTTGGGATAAACGTTTGAAAGGGAAAAATGTCAAAACATGTATAGGGAGGGGATTCGAATGAATGAAAAACTGAAGTGTTCATTCTTTCAAGCACAGATTAGATAATTTTCTTTTAGGAAATAAAATTATGGGCAAGTTTCCTTACTCCGCATGCCTGATAGTAATCCCTCAAGAAAAGAAAAACAATAATAAAATTGGTCACTTCAATCCACGACTGTGGGACACTACTGTGCGTAATTGGCTGCTGGGTTTCACCCACAAATATACAGTCAATTCACTTCACAATATATTCTGTGAAGCGCTTTGAGATGTCTAGAAGATGTGATAAGGCACTATATCAAATGCAAGGATTATATTATTATGGGATATGGTACATAAGTAGTTTGGGTCATATGTGCATGTGACCACCAGGAAGGTGGAAGACGAACTAGATGGACCTTGGTCTTTTTTGTCTAGCATTTCTTATGTTCTTATGAAATGAAATAGATAATTTCTTCAACATTTCAACCAGCTCAGTGGACTAATTCTCAGATATTTGGTTCAAGCTTAGTTATAAGAGTCACTATTGAGACATACAGCACGCTATGCTTAAAGGTTGTTTGGATAAACATTTGAAAGGTACAAATATCAAAGGATATACATAGGGAGGGAATTGGTATTTGAATGACGTGAGTCCAGTGGAGATAATAAAATCAAATGCAATCCAGCCTTTCTATCAGTTCAAATGGAATTAAAATCCTTGGCACAAATAGAATTACAGAGGGCTGGTAGGACCCTGAATGCTTTTGACACAAAGCAGTTATTCAGGCTGAGAAGATAATAGCATATAAAAGAGATCTGGATAAATATTTAAATGGGAAAATATATAAGAATAATTGAAAATGAAGTGAATTGGGATCGGAGTGGTTATCGCTGACAGAGGAGCTGGTGCAAGTTTAGAGTCACGGGTCAATTGGCCTCCTGTAATAGAACTTATTTAAATATAACTGTTCTGAAATACTTGATTAAAATGGAACGGTTCTCAAGTACAGTGTATCGAGTTCCAATCAACTCGTTTCTCATGCAGCTGACGCTGGCGATTCCTGTATTGTTCTGTGTTTGTACTGAAGGACAGATTCCGGAAACACGTAAACAACTTTCTCATATTTGCAATGACTTCTAAATCACTCATTTTCTTACCTATAATCACTCTCATTCTCTTTAAAGTAAAGGATCCAATGTAGGATTGTTGTGCCTGGTGCCTTTGCTTTCAAGAGGTGGGTTGAGGGTCCACATTTAGGAGGTAATGATAATCCTTGCATTTGATACAGTGCCTTTTTACGTTTCAAGATGTCTCGAAGCGCTTCACAGAATATACTGTAAAGTGGATCGACTGTGGATTTGAGTCAGTAGCACTGTCTGCCTCATTTATGTTACAATGCTATTAACCAAGACAATATTGCCATCATGGTCAGAGCTGTAATTGTTTGGAAATTGAATTGAGAAAGCGAAAATAAAAGAAACAGTTAGGGAAGTAAGTTTCAAAATGAGGTTACAGGATAATAAGGCAATAAAAGTGGATACTGAAGTCAAACTAACCTGTATATTTTGTATCAATTGATATATCTTGAAGATATCGAGTTTTCTTCTGCTAAATATCCAATAATATTTGGCAATCTAACCTGGGCTTTAATTTTTTTATTGAAATTAGTTTGAAGTTTATTACTTCTATTAACGTTAAAATTATATAGCGAATGCTGGTGAAATTAAAGCTCTGAAGGTTCGTGACCGTTAAATTCCAGGGTCACCCTTCCCAAAGAGACTTGAAAAATGTGGAACAAGATCCTAACTGGATCTACTGTCACCGTTCTTCACCTTGAAATACCTCACCTCCTCACCTCACCTTAAGTGCTCCGAGATGCTGTCCGGTGTGAAGGGTGCTATATGAATACAAGTTGTTGTTGTTGAAATGCTCTTAAAGATGGGTTTTTGGGGGGTCTAAAGAGCACTGACTCATGCACTTAGTACCTGACTGTGTTTTATTTTAATAATTATGAAATGAAAATTATGTAAATTAGTTTCTAGAATAAAATGATGTCACTGCGGTGCTCAAAATGAGGTATTTTAAAGAAAACCATAGCGAGTTAAACATCTAAAACATCTTAACTCCATGACGCATCTTGTTTGATGCTGATAGGAGATAATTAAGTGGATTTAATTCTTCATCGCCACTAAGAGGATTTCTTGGATGGCAGAAGAATCCTCTTTGGAAAAAGGTGAGAGGTAGGTCACAAAACCCAATTTAATATCAGAGAATTAATGTACCCTCTGCCCTTATGATGGTTACCATGGATCAATACACTTTAACAGTAATTTATACTTCATACTACTACACAGATGAAGTACTTGATTACAGATTTTATTGTGAGACAAAACCCTGTAAAACACTTGAAATTGTTGATGATGGATCACATGGATGTGATGGATGTTGATGGATGACAACATCGGGAAGATACAGGGTCCCAGCGTCAGATTCCAGGAATGCACAGCTTTTGTTTTTAGAGCTAACTACAAGATATGAGGGGTGTCTCCCATCCAGGAGAGAGTGTTCACCCTGATCTGAGGACGTTGAGGGCCTCACAGAAACCACGAGAGTGCAGCTTCACCTCCAACTTGAAAAACATTGAAGATCACAGAGCGTTATCAGCCGAGGAGTCACAGAAAGAAAAACACCAGATCTCCCGATCTATACCCCTAAATCGCAGCAGCTTCAATTCCCAAACTTGAGCTCCCCACCTCACTCGGTTATTTTCCTTCTTGCACCTCTGCTTTTTCACTTTTTGTTTCCTCCTTTTTCTCACTTCAACTTTGGAAATTTCCTTTTTGCTTCCATGCAAGTGTATCTCACCCTCAATCCCTCCAC